ACAGTTGGTGCTACTTTGGCATTCTTTTATTCTAAAGGAGGCAATTGGTTGCCCCTACAATAAAAATATTCCAGGGCAAGGTGATAGGCCAGATGTTGTATGAGACTGAGACTTGGGGATGGATCACTGCCTTGTCGTGGTGAAAGAGCTTGCGTAGCTCAATGAAGCTATGAGCTATGCCGTGCAGGGCCACCCAAAATAGACAGGTCATAGGAGAGAGCTCTGACAAAATGTGATCCACTGGAGAAGGAAGTGGCAACCCACGCCAGTATTTTTGCCATGGAAACCCCATGGACAGTTCCAAAAGGCAAAGAGAGATGACGCCGGAAGATGAGCCCTTCAGGTCAGAAGGCGTCCAATACGCTACTGGGGAAGAGCAGAGGGCTAGTACTAGTAGTGCCAGAAAGAATGAAGTGACTAGGTCAAAGCCGAAAGGACACTCAGTTGCAGATGTATCTGGTGGTGAAAAGAGAGTCCGATGCTGTAAAGATCTATACTCCATAGAAACCTGGAATGTAAGATCCACGAATCAAGGCAAGCTGGATGTGGTCAAACAAGAGATGACAAGACTGAACATCGACATCTTAGGAATCAGTGATCTAAAATGGACAGGAATGGGTGAATTTAATTCAGATGACCATCAGGTATACTGTTGTGGGCAAGAATCCCTCAGAAGAAATGGAGTAGCCTTCATAGTCAATAAAAGAGTAGGAAAAGCAGTACTGGGATACAATCTCCAAAATGACAGAATGATCTCAGTTCAAATCCAAGGAAAACCATTCAACATTACAATAGTCCAAGTCTATGCCACAACCACTGGTGCTGAAGAGGCTGAAGTTGACCAGTTCTATGAAAGCCTACAACACCTTCTAGAATTAACACCAAAAAATGATGTCCTTACCATCATGGGGGATTGGAATGCTAAAGTAGGAAGCCAAAAGATAACTGGAATAACAGGCAAGTTTGGCCTTGGAGTACAAAATGAAGCAGGGCACAGGCTGGTAGAATTTTGTCAAGAGAATACGATGGTCATAGCAAACACTCTTCCAACACCCAAGAGACAACTCTACACATGGACATCACCAGACGGTCAACAAAGAAATCAGATTGACTATGTGCTCTGTAGCCAAAGATGGAGAAGCTCTATCCAGTCAGTAAAAACTAGACCAGGAGCTGACTGCGGCTCAGATCATGAGCTTCTGGTTGCAAAATTTAGGCTTAAATTGAAGAAAGTAGGGAAAAGCACTCGGCCACTCAGGTATGACCTAAATCATATCCCTGATGAATATACAGTAGAGGTGACAAATAGATTTAAGGAATTAGATCTGATAGAGTCCTTGAGGAACTATGGACGGAGGTTCAGAACATTGTACAAGAGGTAGCAACTAAAACCATCCAAAAGAAATGCAAGAAGGCAAAATGGCTGTCTGAGGAAGCTTTACAAATAGCTGAGGAAAGAAGGAAAGCGAAAGGCAAGGGAGAAAGAGAAAGATACACCCAATTGAACGCAGAATTCCAGAGAATAGCTAGAAGAGATAAGAATGCCTTCTTAAATGAACAGTGCAAAGAAATAGAAGAAAACAATAGAATAGGGAGGACCAGAGATCTCTTCAAGAAAATTGGAAATAGGAAGGGAACATTTCATGCAAAGATGGGCATGATAAAGGATCAAAATAGCAGGGACCTAACAGGCAGAAGAGATTAAGAAGAGGTGGCAAGACTACACAGAACTATACAAGAAAGAGCTTAATGTCCCTGATAACCACGATGGGGTGGTCACTGACCTCGAGCCAGACATCCTGGAATGTGAAGTCAAATGGGCCTTAGGAAGTCTGAGCAACAACAAAGCTAGTGGAAATGATAGTATTCCAGCTGAGCTATTCAAAATCTTAAAAGACAATGCAGTAAAAGTGCTATACTCAATATGCCAGCAAACTTGGAAAACTCAACAGAGGCCACAGGATTGGAAAAGGTCAGTTTACATTCCGATCTCAAAGAAGGGCAATGCCAAAGAATGTTCAAACTACCGCACCATTGTACTCATTTCACATGCTAGCAAAGTGATGCTCAAAATCCTACAAGCTAGGCTCCAGCAGTATGTGGACCGAGAACTACCAGAAGTACAGGCAGGATTTCGAAGAGGCTGAGGAACTAGAGATCAAATTGCCAACATACGCTGGATCATGGAGAAGGCTAGGGAGTTTCAGAAAAACATCTACTTCTGCTTCATTGACTATGCTAAAGCCTTTGTGTGGATCACAACAAATGGTGGCAAGTTCTTAAAGAGATGGGAGTATCAGACCAGCTTATTTGTCTCTTGAGAAACCTATATTTGGGTCAAGAAGCAACAGTGAGAACTGGACACGGAACCACTGATTGGTTCAAAATTGAGAAAGGAGTTCGGCAAGGCTGTATACTGTCGCCCTGCCTATTTAACTTATATGCAGAGCACATCATGAGAAAGGCTGGGCTAGATGAATCACCAGTTGGAATTAAGATTGCTGGAGGAGAAATATCAACAACCTCAGATATGCAGATGATACTACTCTAATGGCAGAAAGTGAAGAGGAACTAAAGATCCTCTTGATGCGGGTGAAGGAGGAGAGTGCAAAAGTTGGCTTGAAACTCAACATTAAGAAAACTAAGATCATGGCATCCAGTCCTCTCACTTCCTGGCAAATAGATTGGGAAGCAGTGGAGGTAGTGACAGATTTTATTTTCCTGGACTCCAAGATCACCGCAGACGGGGACTGCAGCCAAGAGATTAAAAGACGTTTGCTCCTGGGGAGGAAAGCTATGGCAAATCTAGACAGCATGCTAAAAAGCAGAGACATCACCCTGCCAACAAAAGTGCATATAGTCAAGGCTTTGGTTTTCCCAGTTGCAAGGTATGGCTGTGAAAGCTGGACCATAAGGAAGGCTGAGCACCGAAGGATTGAGGCCTTTGAATTGTGGTGCTGGAGGAGACTCCTGCGAGTCCCTTGGAGTGCAAGGCGATCAAACTGGTCAGTCCTAGAGGAGATCAAGCCTGACTGCCCTTTAGAAGGCCTGATAGTGAAGATGAAACTCAAATACTTTGGCCACCTAATGAGAAGGAAGGACTCCTTGGAGAAGAGCCTAATGCTGGGAACAATAGATGGCAAAGGAAGAAGGGGACGGCAGAGGATGAGGTGGCTAGATGGAGTCACTGAAGCAGTTGGTGTGAGCTTAAGTGGACTCTGGGGGATGGTGGAGGACAGGAAGGCCTGGAGGAATGTTGTCCATGGGGTCGCAATGGGTCGGACCTGACTTCGCGACTAACAACACCAACAAATTGCCCAATTGGAAATAGTGCAAAATAACTTCATATGGAAGATCTTGGGCTTCCCCCAGGACACTCTCACTGTCTATTTAAGGATGGAAGCAGTGCTCCCTTCCATCGCTGTTAAACTACACTTTGCACTGCTAGGGCATTATTAGAAACTAGACAGCCGTCACAAATCCCATCTTGCCAACCTCTGTTTTCTCCATTACACAGTGGGGAATCAATGGAAAAAAATTTCTGCATCCCGTTCTACAAATGTATTCCCTGCCGTCTTTGGGTGAACTCAGATCCTCGGATAGAGAAAATATTAGAGATTGGGTTTTTGAAAAGGGTGCTAATAAAGATGCCACTGTAGTTCATTCATCCAGATTTTCACTCTGGTATCATCAGTGTAAAAAGCATAGATGTCTTTCCCAGTATCTTGTTAACATAACCAGGCATGTCATGAGCAGAGCTGGCTGGAGTCACAGGTCAGACTAGATGGCCCAGGAGGCCCCTTCTGACTCACTATGTTTGTATAATTTTACTACTTTGTTGTTTTATCACTATCATTTATGGTATTTAATGGTATTTTTATGTTATGACCTGTGGTTACAACAATAAACTTATTTACTTACTAATAGTTTCAAGTTTTCACTTGAAACAAGACATAACCTTACCAGTTTTCTTCCTGACACTATTCAGTCCAGCAGAAACAGCTCTCCACACACTGGATGTTCAAAGGACTTTAGCCTATTATCGCTTCCGCACAGAAACATGCCACCTATCCAAAAGACTATTTGTCTTATATGCAGAAAGATCAAAAGACAATCCCATAGCTTCACACTAGCTCCCTGGATTGTACAAACCATCAAACTAGCCTATCAACTTGCTGAACTAGAACTTCCAGAAGAACCTAAAGCGCACTCTACCACAGCAGTGGCTACATCCACAGTGCTACACAACAGTATACCAGTGGAAGACTTATGCCGAGTGGCAATTTCATCCACTCCATCAACATTCATACGGCGCTACTGGCTCGATGTCCATGCAAGACAGGAGTGTTCCTTCAGCTGAATGGTTCTCTGCTATCCTCCAATAATGACACTTCCCACCACCATATTCGATAAGCTTGCTAGTCGCCCATATGTGTGATGCACAGAGACCATGGAAAAGGAAGTAAGCTTATGTACCTTTAACCAATGTTCTGGTCATCTGTGCATTCACACATTCACCAGCCCCGCATTGGTGTTGATTACCATATTATAAACAGCCAGGACATTTTCTTTTTTTTTTTTCCTCCTTTACTTTTCCATCTGTGCCATACTGGTGCAGAGGACTGGAAATGGCCACCCCTTCTCTGGTTCAAGAGCCAAAGTGATGGTCTCACAAAAACTGGAGAAAATGGACGGAGCCCCACCTTTATATACCACCTAGGAGAAGTGGGTGGGGCTCCCAGCACAACACTTAGCTAAGGAATTTCCCTCTCTTTGACAACAGTTCCTGCACAGGCACAGAACCCATATGTGTGCAACCTATTATATTACACAGGTGACCACTTGAATGTCAGTTACAGGTAAGCAACCTTACTTTGCAGCAAGTGACTGGGAGTACTTTTCACTAAATTGTCTTATAGTTTTGACATTTATTTTAACTACATTTAAATATTTATTTGACTTTTATTGAAAGGCAGTAATGCTGGAAATTTAATTCTTAGGGTCATGTGAAAGTTGTACGCTATCTGGTAAAAGAAGTAAATCAGTTCCCATCAGATTCAGAATGCATGAGATACATAGCAACAGTAACTGACAAGGTAAGAATACTTTTTCGTTCACATTTCTTAGTAAAGATATGGTAGATCAAGTCATTTTACCATAAGTTGATGAAATCATTACTGCTATTAAGGATGCAATCATGTAGGCCCCATATGTTGTCTGGGAGGGCCATACAATTATTCAGCTCTCCAGTTCCAAAGTCCTACAAGCTCAGTGATGAGAATCTGAAGGCCAGGACCCTGACCTGCCCCACTACCTTTCTTGCAGCCAGCATAGAAAGAACCATGCCAGTTGCCTTACCAAGGCTGCAGCCGGGCTTTGGAGGGAAGGAAAAGGGGTGTGCCGGGCATGGCAAGGAGGGTGGGGCTTTCACATTATGCTGACTCCTCTCAGCATTCTAGCCTTCTCTCCTGGTGCTATATCTAGGTGGCAAAAAATGGTAAGTGCATTGAGAGTGGAAGGCCTAAGACTGTATCCTTAAACTCTTTAAATATTTTTATGTTCTTTGGCTCTACATTCCCAATTTAATTACCATTTTCTGAAGAACATCTAAAATGTTAAACATTAGTTAACTTTTTTGTGTGTCTTTTTGAGTAGTTAAAACATTGTTATCTCAGAGTAGGTTATATTATGCAGAACTTTAATTCTGTAATTAACCTGAGTAAGAATGGTTAAGAATAGATAGAAAAAGCTGGGATAAACCAAATCTAACATTCCCCCACATCATCTTTCACCTTTCCCTTTTCAACTTATTCTTATGTCTGTTATCTTGAAAGCCCCTTTCTTTGTCACAGAGCATAGCAGTCTGTTATGCAAGCACCATTATTCCAGAACCAAACTACAGAGTATTTTAAAATTATGTTTTGCAATTCTGGCCACCTCTTATCCTCTAGGAAGCTTTGTTTCACAGTATGTTTTCCATTCCACTCCTTTCCCAAATCAATTAACTGACCATAAAAGGCTGGAATAGGATAAAATTCATATGTGTTCTCACAGTTAGTAACAGTTGAGCCCTGTAATACCAGAGTTGTATTAAATTTCCTCTAGTTGCTGTAGGTTGTTGCTGTTGCTTTTGCCTAAGCAGCTTAACTGCCTGGGCCATAAAGAACCCATAACATATCATGCCATGCTATATTGCTTATCCTACTTTAGTGCTTAGACTAGAGTAGTTTTTGTTCAATTCCTTGTGTTTGTGTTCTTTCAGAAATAGTGTTTCGGTTTGGTTTGGTTTGTTTTTAATATTGCCATTTTAGGAAATGTTGAAGAAGTGCCACCTCTGTATAGAATCAATTGTCCAAGCCAAGGACAGGCAAGCTGCTGAAGCAAACAAGAATGCAAGCATTCTTTTAGAGGAATTGGATTTAGAAAAGGTAAGAAATCTCTTTACTGAGATCTTGTGTCTAGATTAGGGAAGAAAAAATATGGAAGGTTCAGATTTAGAAAATATGTGTTCTGCAGTGGTTCTGGGTATGTTGGGAAAAGTTCTTTCTCTTGGTAATAGCCATGGCTTTCTTGCAAATGGCAAGAGGATGGGATATCTATTTCCATACAGACTTCTAGTTACTACATCTAAAAGAAGCATAAAATAGTAGAGTCGGTTGGGGCCTGTTAGACTATTGAATCCTATCCCCTGCTCAATACAGGACTCAAAGTTAAAGTATCCCTGACAAATGGCTGTCCAGCTACCTCTTGAATGCCTCAATGTGGGAGAGCCCACAACCTCCCTTGGCAATTGGTTTGATTGCCATTCTCTTAACAAACAGGAAGGTTTTTCTGATGTCCAGCCAGATTCTTGCTTCCTGTAAATTGAGCACATTATTCTAAGTCCTGCAGTATGGCACAATTTAAAAGAGATTGTGGACCTCTGTGTGACATCCTTTCAAATACTTGAAAGGTACAGTCACATCTTCTCTCCTCAAGGCTACACATGCCTAGCTCTTTCAATCTCAACTCATTGGGCTTTGTTTCTAGTCATCTTTGCTGCTCTCCTCTGAATCCATCCCAGTTTGTCTGCATCTTCTTAAACTGTGGTGCCCAGAACTGGACATAGTACTCAAGATGGGATCAAATAGAGTGCCAAATAGAGGGGAACCAGCAGCTCACATGATTTCAAAACTATAGTTCCAGTGTGGTGCAGTGGTTAAGAGTGTGGGACTGGGACTCAGTAGATGTGGGTTCTAGTTTCCACTCAGCCATGGAGCCCTCTGGGTAACAACCGAACTGCCTAACGAAGTTGTTGTTGGGAGAAGGAGGAAAATTCTGTAAGTGGCCTTGAGGTCCTTGAAAGCTAACAAAGACAGGATATAAATATAACAAATTAATACAGCTTCAAATAGTATTTGCAGGGGTGGGGTGCAGCCACATCACATTGTTTGCTCATATTCAGCTTGTTATCTACAACAGTTAGAAGATCTGCACCCTACTGGTCCAACATACTAGAATACTGTCTTCTAAGGGGACAGCTAGTACTTCAGATGATACTAGGAACACAGTTCCACAGACCTGTCCCAGGAAATAACTCACCCATATTTCTTGTTGGTCAAGAAATAAACAGTTAGAGGACTCCAGCTCAGTTGAATTGGCAGGGCATCCAGTGAGAATGGTATGGTTTGTTGTAAGAGCATCAAAAGAGATAAGGCAATTTGCTCTAAAAGTTGCTCAAGCAAATGGGAGAGGAAAAAGAAGGAAAGGTTTCTGGGCCTGATACTTTGAGAACCTTCAGGAACTAGGAGGCTTAGCCAGCAATATACTTGAGACTGTGAAATTTAATCCTCACATTCATCCTCACAGACTGTATAGCTCTCTAATAGTCTAATCTTCTGTATTATCGGAGTACCCTCTGTACCTTGCTTAGCAAACTGGGGGAGAACTTCCAAAGAGAAATATCTAGAATGGATAATATGTAAGATCTATTTTCTAAACTCCTGCCCAACATTACTAATGCCACGGTATAGCCAGAAGGACAGAAGGAGAAAGGTTTGATCCTTTTAGCAGCAGCCTTTATAATCTACAGTGGACTTAACACAAGTTAAAATCCTCACAGTGTTCTTCTTGAGGATCTTTGACAAGCTGGAAAAAGATTGGCTTTCCTCTTGACACTTTTCTTCCTCTCTCACTACTACCCAGGACAGCTAAAAAGATCAAATACCTGGAGAAAAATGTGGTCCTCTCAGATTGATAGTCCTGAATCTTCTCTTTCATCCATATCTGTCCCAGCTGACTGCTTTTAGGTTGAGAGGCAAGTGCTAGTCATCAGGTTGGCATCCTTAAGCAGTTTCCACATTCATGACTTCTCTTGGACATCCTTGCTGGGACAGGGTGCAACATCTTCTCTCATGTACTGTAGAAAAAGTTTTTCAGGCCCAGTTTATTAGCTTTCCTGCATACCAGTATATTGCATCTCCCTTGGAGCCTTAACATGGCCTCACGGTGCTACTGTAAAGCTATGGACATAACCTTTCATTCCTCATTGTGGTCTCTGTTCATCACAAATGTGGGCTTTGCGGTGGCAGAAGAAACTTCTATAGCTTAGCGTCATAGAGGGGAAGAGCCCCCGGGCCCCTTCTAGGTCCTGGAATAACAAGGGTGTGGCTCTCGCCAAGTTCCTCAATTCCTTTTTGACCATGCATCCAACTGCATCACCTCAATTGGGAACTGCTCTGCAAGCAGTTTTGTTTCTTACCTTCCCATGCTTTCCCCCTTGTTTTGTTCTTTCTCCTTTCTAAAGAACAGTGTTTTGCTTTCTAAAAAAGAAAAAAAGTATTTTTCTTTCTTATTTTATTTTGTATACCAGAATTTAAAAATCCTAACTGAGGCTTTGTTAGTCTAAGATTGCCTTTTTGCCTATTTTCTCCTCCCCGTTTCCTTTCCAAGGAAGGAGAAAGACTTTTCTGCCACTTTTTTCCTTTTGTTTTTGGCATGGCCTCCAACCCAGCTGTGACTTGTGCCCTGCATGCTTGCCCACAGCACACATCCATTCCTTGTACTTCCTCTTCCTTGGCATATGGTGGAACCTGCCTGCATTGCCAGCCTCTTAAAAAGCAAACATGCCACAAGCAGGCAGATCACCTCAAATTTGCACTGTGGCAGTGTGCCCTGCGTGTAGCTGATTCTTCTAGGTTGGACACTGAAAGGCCTCCTGCCCCTCCAGCTGGGGAAAGCATGAGGACCAGGAAGAGGACCAGGAAAATGCTGCCACCTAGGCCAAGGAAGGACCAGCAGGGGCCAAGACTGCCTTCAGGAAGAAAAGGTACCACAGCCGCCCACCTCCCTTCCGACTGACTCTACAGCTCACAGTGACCACCCGCCTATGCCAATCACAGAGTTCCACTGGCTGGAACCCCAACAGTACCAGTGATGGACTGTCCAGACCCTCTTGACTACTCCAGGGCCAGGGACTCAATGCCCACACACAAATGGCCACTGCCACCATCACCCCCAACACCCATGACCCCCAAGCAGTGGGCTACCACATCAGTGTGTGATGTGCTGGCAAGTCAGCCCACACCAATCCCTGTGGTCCACACCTGGACTTACAAGGGGGCATTTGGCTCGCCCCACTTCCCACTCCTTGGCTGGGATAATATTTCACCTTGGTCCCCTGCCCCTCAGACCACCCCAGCCCACTTGTCCCCCCCCCCCCCGAAAGTGGCATGTGTAACCAACTCCATCACTGACCAGGTGCACGGGCCATGCTATGCTATGCTAGGCCATGTGCCTCGTGTCGCCAAAACCATGCCAACACCCATTGCCAAGATCTGGCAGAACTTACCTCACACCAGCCCTGCACAAACTCCAACTACTGCTGCCATACATTGCTGGCCATTACTAGTGCCTGCCACCGACCATGTACACAGGAGCCATCTCGACTCTGGGCGCGTGCTGATGCCATGCCTTGTGATGGCAATTGAGATCGCCATCATCCCATGCCCAGTTAGCACCATGAGGTCTCCTCCCATGATGCAGCCTCCTCCACACTCCACACTGGAGCTTCTCAGTGTCCGGAGGACGGTGACTCAGATCCCAGCCCCACTGGACAGTCTGTGGCTGTGATACTACTGGCCACTGCCACCAATCCAGTGATGGGCTGGATCATGACCAGCTAGACTCATGCGAGTCTGAGAGGCTGTCACATCCAAATAGCGACAGACAATACCACCATCATGTATTAGCTAAACAAGCAGGGTGGGACCCCATTCACCCAGCTAGCCACCCAGCCACCCAGCCAACATCTGGGAGTGGTGCATAGTGAGGGATGTTTCCATCCCCACCACCCATGTGGCAGGCCATCTCAATACCCTAGCTGACACCCTTGACACCGTATGAATGGGAGCTTGCTGACCCAGCCCTCCAGAGCCTCTCTGACAGATAGGGCATTCCACAGATAGACCACCACCACCCAGAACTCCAAATGCTACCTGTTCTGCTCCAGGACAGGGACAGCAGACCAGCTTCCTAGGGGATGCCTTCCTCCTAAAGTGGGAAGGTGCCCTGTTCTACATCTTCCTTCCTTCCCTCTGATCACCAAAGTAGTCTCCAAAATCTGGAAAAACAAGATGAACTGTGTCCTGGTGGCTGAGACAATCATGGCTCTCCCTCCTTCTCCAACTTTTTAACAGGACATTCCTTTGCCTACCACTGCACCATAACCTACTCGCACAGAACAGGGACTGAGTGCTTCATCCCAATGTTGGGGCCCTGAACCTGACTGCCTGGAGGGTGAGCAGGTAATGGACTCTTATCTGTCCCTTCCTCCTGCAGCCTCCTCCATCCTCCAGGCTGCCCTGAGGCCATCCACACACAAGTCCTACCTGGACAAATGTAAGGCCTTCACACTTTTCGCCAGGGCAGCAGGACTCAACCCTTCCCAGACCTCCATAGAATACATCCTTACATACCTCCAGACCCATTTTAGTGCAGACCTTGCCCCATCTTTGTTGTGGGTATACCTGGAGGCAATCTCACACTTCCACCTAGCTATCCAGGGGTTGTCCATTTTCACACACCCACTGGCATGCAGGTTTCTCCATAGTCTCCGGAACCTGGCTCCACCAGTATGCTTCTGGAGTCTCTTGGTGGTTCTCCAATCCCTCACCAAAAGGCTCTTCAACCCCATGGCAATGATGGACCTGTAGCTCCTCTCATGGAAGACAGTCTTCCTCATGGCCATCACGTCTGCCCATCGTACCAGCGAGCTATCAGCACTGTGGATTGATGCCCCCTACCTCACCTTTCACAGGGGCAAGGCTGTGCTGCGTTCTGACCCACACCCAAGGTTAATTTTTCCTTCCACATCAACCATGACATCATCCTCCCAGCCTTCTTCCCTAATCCTTCCACTCCCATCGAGGCTACGCTGCACCTGCTAGATGTCCGCAGAGCCCTTGCCTTCTACAGGGCGCAAACAAAACCATTCTGGTTCTTGAGCCACCTCTTCATCTGCTATGATGGCCAAAGGAAAGGAGAATCTGCCTCATCCCAGGGACTCTCCAAATGGGTGTCCAAACCATCTCCCTAGCATATAAGATGGCAGGACTTGAGCTCGCCATACCCCCAGGAGCATGTTCCACATGCACACAGGCCACGTCATCCGCCTTGCTAGCTGGCATTCTGTTCCACAATATCTGCAGAATTGCCATGTGGTCCATGCAGTTGACCTTCGTCTGGCACTACAGAACTGCACATTCAGCAGGGCTGTCCTCTCAGCAATCCTGCGGTGACACCAGCCCCTGCATGCATGATGGGTAAGCTTGCTAATCGCCCACATGTGTGATGCACAGAAGAAAAGGCAGGTTGCTTACCTGTAACTGTTCTTTGAATGGTCATCTGTGCATTCACACAACCCACCCTCCACCCTGCTGGCTATTGACAAACTGCCATACACACACTCCATGACAAGGGGCACTGGATGAGAGTGCAGCCTTGGTCACTACCTCATCTACACCTATGTCTTCAAATGCCAGAGAAGTTTCAGTCTCCAAGGCAACTGAGGGACTGGATGGGAGCCCCACTTTTCTTATTCTGGAACTCGGAAGGGGCGGGGGCTCCTACCCACTAAGTGACACTAAACTATAGAAGTTTCCTTTGAGCTAGGCCTTGCATTGCCATGGCAAAGCCCACATGTGTGCCCACAGGTGAGCACTTGAAGAATGATAGTTACAGGTAAGCAACCTGCCTTAAAGTTTGTTTGTTTATCTAAAACTCTTCTATACTGTCCCTTCACAGACATCTCAGGACAGTTTACAACAGAATAATAAAATAGAATAAAAATAGAAATAGGAGTAGTTGCACAGCATCCGATGTTAAAATATAAAACCACTAAATAAAACAGGTTAACAATTAAAATATTGGGTGAATAAAAAGGTTTTCGCCTGACACCAGAAAAGAAAAAAGTGTTGGTGTCAGGTGAACCTCTCTGGTCAGGGAACGTTCTCTCCTTCAAAACCCTTCTTCTTCTGGCTGTCATCTTGGTTTGGAGACTTTCAAAACTGGAAATGGTATTGATATTAAAGATCAATTCTAACTTGTGCACTCCCCCCCTTTTTTTTGCTCCATACTATAAAATGCCTTGGCAGTAGGAATGTTAAAAGATCTTCAAATTTTAAATAAACTTACCAAACCCATACAAGTTTGTCATTATGTTTATAGTTCTGTATTATCTTAGAGGGTGTTGTCACAGCTACATTTGTGCCGGGTATTTTTCTAGGCTTTGGGAACAGACTGGAAGCTGTTGGAAATCCTTCCTTTGTTGATTTGAATGGGACTGTCTCTTACCAAAATGTAGTGCCTTCCTTGAATGAAGCCTGCCATACAAATGGAACTAATGAAAGCAGGAATACAGGGCCAGTTCAAATTTGCTTTTAAACAATGTATATCATACTTTTCTGCAATTGCTCAAGGTATTTGATGCATCAGTACAGAATTCTGAGCTTCAAAACTTAAACTGTTTTCATAGTGAATTGTGTGAGCCCACTGAAGTCTACTTGAAGAAGAAGAATGCGGATCTCAAAAGAGCTGTGTTCATAAATTCACTAGGTGATCTTAGGCAAGCTCTTTTTTTACAGCCTCTGATGCTCCTGCCACTGCCAAAAGCATGCACAATATTGGAATATGTGTTTGTTCAGATTATTAGCAACATAGGTGAACTACTTAGAAAGTGCTTGCAGAAATACTTGAAATTTAGTATATTTTGCAATATGCTAATATGATCACTGTTGATCTTGATTTGCAGCTACGAGAAGAAAGTAGAAGGTTGGCTCTAGCTGCTAAAAGGGAGAAAAGAAAGGAGAAGAGAAGAAAGAAAAAAGAAGAGCAAAGGAGGAAACTAGAAGAAATTGAGGCAAAAAACAAAGAAAATTTTGAAGTACAAACTACTCAAGAAAAGGAAAAACTAAAAGTTGAAGGTATATATTAGATTTGTACCAAATGGACTCAGAGTAAATTATAACAATTCTTCCACTTCTGTTCTTCCATTCACAGATCTCTGAAACAAAATTATCTTTAAACCAATTGTTAAATCCTGTCAACTTGCAGTCTAATTGAAACAGCCCATAGCGCATATTATTGAAGAGTGCGTCAGATGTGAGGAGATTGTGGATTCACCTTATTCCACAACTTTCACATGTAACGTATAACTGGATTGTCATGAATCTGCTGAAACTGGTGTGTGTTTTATTCAACCATTGTTAGCATTGCAGTGGTTTTTACAACAAACTTTTCACACTGTACTTAAGATGAACTTTCTTCATGGCTATTTATTATTTATTTATTTAGGAAGCTTCTGTGCTGCCCCATTCGCCGAAGCCTCGGGGCAGCTCACAAAAATAAATAAACAAACAATAAATAAATAACAACATAATAATATAAAAACAATATAATTGGAGACGTCCTGGCCAAAGATGTAAAATCAATAAATAATATTAACAATTAAAATGACGTTTAAATAAAAAGGTCTTGGCCTGGTGCTGAAAAACAAATAACAGCGCCAGGCGGACCTCCCTGGGGAGCGCATTCCATAGATTGGGCACCACCGCAGAGAAAGCCCTCCTCCGGGTACTTATCCTCCTAATATCCTTCACGGAGGGTTCCTGGAGAAGGGCCTCTCCCAGTGATCTCAAGGGGCGGGTGGGCACATATGGACGTAAATGCTCCTTTAGGTAACCAGGACCCAAGCCATTAAGGGCTTTATAGGTAATAACCAACTCCTTGAATTGAGCCTAGACTTCATTGGGGAGCCAGTGAAGCTGACGGAGGACTGGAGTCATGCGAACATAACGCCCAGTCCCCGTCAGCAGCCTGGCAGCTCTGTTTTGGACCAATTGAAGTATCCGGACCTTCCTCAAGGGCAGCCCCACGTAGAGCGCATTACAGAAGTCTAGTAGGGAAGTCATCAACGCGTGTGTCGCTGTCGCCAGGCAGTCGTTCTCCTGGTAGGGATGCAGCTGATGGATCAGCCGAAGCTGAAAGAAAGCGCTCTTCACCACCGCTGTCACCTGAGCTTCCAGTGAAAGCTCTGGGTTGAGGAGCACCTTGTCCCTAAGAGGGAGTGCAACCCCATTCAGGACCAGGTCAATGTCCCCTTGCCCAAAGCCCGATCTGTCTACCAACAGGACCTCTGTCTTGTCTGGATTGATCTTCAGTTTATTGGCCCTCATCCAGCCCATTACCTCGGCCAGGCACCAGTTCAGTACAGCCACTGCCTCACCTGGATTGGTAGAAAATGAGAGGTAGAGCTGGGTATCATCAGCGTACTGATGATTCCGCAGCCCACACCTCTTAATGACCTCTCCCAGCAGTTTCATGTAGATGTTAAATAGCAAAGGGGACAAAATGGATCCCTGCGGTACTCCATGGCATAGCTGCCATGGTGCAGAGCCATAATCCCCCAGCATCACCTTCTGGAATCGGCTGTTGAAATAGGAGCGAAACCACTGCAAAGCAGTGCCTCCAACCCCCAATTCCGCTAGTCTATCCAGAAGGATACCATGGTTGATGGTATCGAAAGCCGCTGAGAGGTCCAGGAGAACCAACAGGGACGCACTCCCCCTGTCTTTCTCCCTGCACAGGTCATCATACAGGGCGACCAAGGCAGATTCAGTACCGTACCTGGGTCTGAAGCTGGACTGAAATGGGTCCAGGCTACCAATCTGAATGGCTTTAAAAGGGGATTGGACAGATTCATGAGGGAGGAGATTATCAGTGCTTACTAGCTTTGCTGGCTATGTGCTACCTCTTTTTTACCAGAGGTGGCATGCTTGAACCTGAGGAGCTTGGGGAGGAGGAAGCACTCATTCTGCGTGACAGATCCTGTGGACAGTTGGTTTGCCACCATGTGTACAGAGTGCTGAACTAGATAGACCTTTGGTCTGATGGTGCATGACTTATGTTCATGGGCTCAAGGACCAACTGCTTGGCTGATATCTAAAGAGCTAATTGTGTTAACTCAGTATGTTTTTGGCACCTAATCTGCATGTCATTTGTTTTTAAAGTTTAAAAAGCAGTTTGCTACAAGGTGCAGGAAGGTGTTTAAGGAAAAACAAGTTCTGAGCCCTTTTGAACTTTGACAGAGCTAGTTTAATGGTTCTGTGGATCCCGATCCTTCCAGTTTGGGGTAGCATACCAACAGTCAATGAGCAAAACATAATCTGCATTTCTTCACTGTTCAGTATAGTAGGTCATCAAGAATAATGACATCCAGTAAAAGGATCAGCTCCAGCAGTTCATGAGCTCAGGTGTTCTGTTTATCTGAATATGTGCAAATCAGGTTTGTACTCTTATAGATTAAACAGATTTGTCTGTGTATGTTCTCAAGTATGTAGGCATTAAGTAAGATACACATTGACATACTCTGTAATATTACAAGATATTAGGACCTCATAGGCATGTGTAGGCCAGTAGTATACTAAAAACTGACATCAGTAATTCTTCTTTTGATTCTCAATTAGATGAGGAAAGAGTCCTTACAGAACCACCTAGTGCTACCACAACAACCACAATAGGTATATCTGCAACATGGACAACTTTGGCAGGTTCCCATGGAAAAAGAAACAGTACTGTCACCACAAGCAGCTCTAAGAGAAAAAGCAGAAAAAGCAAAATCAGCCAAGAGACTGTTCGGATTATTTTTGATGATCAGCTCCCAATCTCCTATTCTCAACCAGAAAAAATAAATGGTGAATCAAAAAGCAGCAGTACCAGTGAAAGTGGTGACAGTGACAACATGAGAATTTCCAGCTGTAGTGATGAAAGCAGCAATAGTAACAGCAGCCACAAAAGTGACAGCAATTCTTCTACAACAATCACTAGTGCTTCAAGCAGCAAGAAGCAGCCATCGGTGCTGGTCACCTTCCCCAAAGATGAACAAAAAGCAGTTTCTGGCAAATCTTCAGTCAAGTAAGCTACTGTGGCTTTCACTTCATGTTCAAGATCTAATCCAACCTTCCCCACCAGTCTGGTGTTTCATTTCTTTTTCACTGGCCTACTCCTGGCCATGATTCACTTTAGGGGTAACCAGCTCCAGGCAGTGTATTTCTGTTCTCTCATTTGTACTGAGCCACTAACTGCCAGTGAAGCCCCATTATAATGGGAACAGATAATATATGGGGGGATTGGATGAGGAGGAAAAACTCTGGGGAGTGGAGCCTTCACAACCAGGCCATCTTAAATGTGGAATCCTCACATGGGACCACATATCCACCCAATTCAACTCCAGTCCTTATCACCTTCATGTGACTGGTTTCCAATAAGCTGCTCAGCCCCGGTTCATTATTCTGTCCCATCCTCCCCCAATCTGGTGGCCACGAGATAAAGAAGTCATTGGGATGCTGGAACTCTTAGATCAACAGAGGAGGACATTAGGTTAGGGAAAGCTGATCTAACCTCTCAGGAAATTTTAAAAGTTTCCATCTTCATTCTTACATATTACTTCCTTTTAGAAATGCATTGGTGGCTTCTTAACAAATAATGTTACATAATAACATAACATTATTATGTTAGTAGTAATAAATACTTCACTGACCAGAACTGAGGAATGATTATTTACATTTTATTTAAAATGTCTTTTGCCTTCCTATAAAATATGTTGTTCAAGATGGCTTACAAAAATAATTAAAAAGAAGCTAACAAAATACAATACCAAAAAAACAGAAGAAGACAGCAGTTCAACAGTATAACAAATTATAAAGGAGCAGTTAATGGTACTTTGAGAAGTCAGTATTGCTTATGTTTGAGTTATTCAGTTAACGACAACAGAAGGCCAATTAATACAATCAAAGGTGAATTACAGATGGGAAATAAAGGCCTATGAAATGCCTTCCAAGCACAAAAGGGAATTCTTCCAAATCCTGTTTCTCTTGCAGCCCCTTGTGCTTCTCCTTTTAAAATTGTTCCTTGTCTAGGCTGATGCAAAGGGAGTACAGTTAGAAGTGAAAATTAAGGGAGTCTAAGTGCACATACAACTCTCTTTGCCTTTGGATCCTAGGCATTGTCAATGCATATAATTTATCTCTTTGACATTTCCTCTGCCTTCAGAGGAATCATATCTGCTGATGAACAGGGAAGGGTGGTTGTCCAACTTTGAGGTATAGCGTGATGAAAGTAGTGTTCAGTTAAGTGGCATTTAGTTACATTTTAAAGGTATCAAATTATCTTTGATTCTTCGTCGTGGCCTCTGTGCATCACACATATAGGTGCTGCGCCTGCGCAGTGCCTAGGCCAGAAGATTAGAAAGCTAACGGTTTTTGGTGGGAAAACGCTCTGCTCCCCCCCCCCCCCGCTTGCAGTATAAATAGAGCGGAGCGTCCGCCATTTTACTCCGTCTCTGCGACCGCCATTCGCTGTGCCTCATGCCTGCTCATCTCTTGCTTAGATCTCACCACATGCTCCTTTACGGTTATCTTGTTCAACTTACCTTTTCCTCATTATATATCCCAGTTTCTCTTTCTTGTTGTAGTTCCTCTGTTCATTCTTTCTCTAAAAAAAACACACACAACAAAAAACCGAAAATATTACTTACCCTCTGTACTATCATCTCTTTTTCCTTTTCACAATGGCGCAGCGGGCAGCATTCTGCAAGTGTAGTGAGTGCGGCTCCAAAATGTCTCCCGCGGACCCGCACAACTTATGCCTCTTCTGCCTCGGCGAGGGGCATAGGACCGATAAGTGTGGGCATTGCCTGGCCTTTACCAAACAGGCCAGGAAGAATAGGGAGAATTGTCTCCGCAAGTTACTTTGGGACCAGGCCTTGCTTCAATCTGACCAGCTAGTCTCAAGGCCTACCCCCTCCTCGGCTGCACCGCCTCAGCGCTCCACCTCTACCCCGGCCGCGCCCCCTAAGCGCCCCGCCTCAACTTCGGCCGCGGCACCGCAGCTCCTTTCGGATGAAGGTGCTGCTCCAATGGAAGCGCAACAGCTACCTTCTCCTCCAGCCAGACAAAAGAAGAAGCGTAAGCATTCAGAGCCGGAAAGTCCCTCTGGCTATAAGAAGCTGAGGAAAGAAAAGGCGGCTAAGGCAGCCCACAAGGGCAAGAAACCTGATCGCCCCAAACACCGAGGCTCGGGTTCGTCAGGGTTCTCGGTACTGACTGCCGCAATGGTACCGACTCCCTCAGGACCGGCCCTGCAGTCCGCAATGCAGGTGACGCCGCTGGGATCCCCCAGGCCTGTTCTTCGGCCTGAGAGCGTGTCTCCTCCACAGGAGCCACCGCTTAGGGTGTCCATCTCTGATGGAGAAATTAGAGATTCCCCACCAAGGCAACGCTCCCCGACGCCAATGCCTGCTGTTGGGCCACCTGAGGGACCAGACTCTCCTCCTAGGCGTAGGAGCCGTTCGTTGGAGCGCCATGCAGATGACTGGGCTATGCACGGCTATGGTGGCTATCCTGCCTGGAGTGGACTCCATCCATATGCTTTTTTTCCTCCGGACCATTGCTCGCCGTCGATCCCGAGAGAGGCACCGTCCACTTCTGGCAGTACGGAACGCAGACCTCCACCATCTCCTGAAAGCACTTCGTCCAGTGAGCATTACCGCTACCATCAAGACTCGGACGAGTCCGAAGTAGACTCCACGTCTCCAGACGTGGCTATTACTTCCCAAGACCCGGGATCCTTGGATGAGCCCCATGTTTCTTTCTCGGAGCTGGTTTCTTGTCTAGTCCGGTCGCTGAAGATAGAGGCCTACCATCGCCCCGGGCCCAGCACAGACCAGTTTTACGACATCGTCCAAGGGGAGCAATCTGCCACTGTTGCCTTACCGTTGATTACCACGCTTCGCCAGGCAATGGTTCAGCCCTGGGACCAACCGGCTCAGCCGCAGGTGACATCTCGCCCGTAAGAATCTATGTACCGGGTCCAAGAGGACGACATCCTGTTCCTGCTCCACCACCCGAAGCCTAATTCGGTGGTGGTCGAGTCGTCCCAGGGCAGGGAGGCTCGGGGACATACACCACCCCGAGAAGGAAGGGAGGAAGGTCGACATGATTGCGCACCAGGTCTACATGGCTGCAGGACTCAGTTTGTGTATTTCAAATTATGAGGCTACACTGGCACGTTACCAGTACTTCATTATGCAGAAGCTGGAAAACGTCGTCTCCTCCCTTCCGGACCAGCAGGCAAACCTAGCCAAGGTCTTCTTAAATGAGGTGAAGCAGGTGGCCATTCAACAGTTGTCTACTGCGAGACATCACGTAGCACTGATTCTCGGGCCATGGTCAACACTATCTCCCCCCGACGACACGTGTGGCTCAGGAACTGCAATTTCCCTGAGGAAATGAAGAGGAGGATAGAGGAAATGTCATTTGATGGCTCCGGCCTCTTCCACGCGAAGACCGATCGGAAACTCAAAGCCATCCACGAGTCCCATATGACGGCGCGTCGAATGGAACTCCCACAAGCGAAATATAAGTGGCCATGGTCCAGACCCTACGGGCGCCAGCAATATCAGCCTTGCCAGCAGTTCCACCAGCACCAGCAACGTAGAAGGCAACAGCCTCAACAGCGCTTCTCCCAGGGCCGTAGGCAGTTGGACACCGAGAAACATCCCCACTGATGGTCCCGGCGAACCAATTCACCTCTCCACCTACCACCTTCCCCTCTCCCCTTTGGGAGTCGGCTCCAAAGCCGACTTCCCATTTGGGAGGCCATTGCATCTGATAGGTGGGTGCTGTCCATCATTCAGCTCGGATATAGAATAGAATTCAACATTGTTCCACCGTCGAGCCCTGATTTACACTGCCATCTTCGGTTCTGTGTGATGAAGTCCTTCACCTTCTTCATAAAGGAGCGATTCGACAACTCTCTCGCACTGATGTGTTTCACGGATTCTATTCTAGATATTTTACAGTACCCAAATGGGACAGTGGTCTTCGACCTATCCTGGATCTAAGAGAGGTCAATAGATATATCATACCAAGGAAGTTCCGAATAACCACTTTACAGAATATTCTTCCATTGCTGAGGGAAGGGGATTGGTTCGCCTCATTGGACTTGAAGGATGCATATTTTCATATTTCTATCCATCCTTCCCATAGACGCTTCCTATGTTTTACTGTTGGATCCGATCTTTTCGAATTCAATGTTCTACCATTTGGACTGGCTACGGCACCGAGAGTCTTTACAAAGTGCATGGCCCTGGTTTGCACCCACCTACGGCTCCGAGGTATACAGGTCTACCCCTATTTAGATGATTGGCTAATTGTGTCATGGACTAAAGACAACCTTTTAGCAGCTGTCCGCCTGACTTGTGCTTTACTTGATGACCCCGGACTCTGTATTAACCTTAAGAAATCGTCATTTATTCCCGCGCAGGTCATCGATTTCATTGGAGCACGTATCGACTCCACCCTGCAAAGAGCGTTCCTTCCTCCGTCCCGCAGGGCCACCCTGCATACGCATATCCGTTGGATTCGACGACAAAGGACAGTTCAAGCCATCACTATACAAAGATTGTTGGGACACATGGCAGCCTCAGTAGCCATTGTGCTGCACGCAAGGCTCAGACTCTGCCCGCTCCAACTGTTTTTCAGCAACTCGTTCCATCCGCAGCGGGATCTACAAACCAAGCTTCTGCGGATTCCATCTTCGATCCTTCACACCCTGACGTGGTGGATTATTTCACGCAACCTATCTGTAGGCGTTCAGTTCCGCCCATCCCAAACGACAGCGACAGTGTACACCGATGCGTCTCTCATCGGATGGGGTGCAACATGTTCAGGACTTCGGGTCCAAGGGGCATGGACCTGACGGGAAGTGGTGAGGCATATCAACTTCGAGCTTCTAGCGATTTTCAACACTTTCAAATCTTTCGAAACTGTCTTACACCGCCAAGTTGTATGGATTGCGTCCGACAGCATAGCTGATGTTTTGTATGTCAGCAAACAGGGCGGGACAAAGTCACCTCTCCTGGCCCATTTGTCAATGCAAATGTGGGACTGGTGCATTCCTCGGGGCATCACGATGCTGGCGGTTCATCTTGCGGGAACCGACAACGTAGAAGCCGTCGCATTGAGCCAACTGATGTCAACTATCCACGAATGGGAGTTGGATCGAGTGGTTTGCAACCAGCTGTTCCAGTTATGGGGACAACCAGATACAAACTTGTTCGCGACCCGGTCAAACAGGGTGAGCGAACTGTTCTGCTCCAGAGCGGGGCTGGGACTGGACTTGAGGGGAGATGCCTTAATTATCAACTGGAACAACCTGTTCTTCTACGCGTTCCCTCCAATCCCACTCCTCATCAAGGTAGTGTTGAAGATCGTGCACGACAACGCCTCAGGAGTTCTGATAACCCCATGGTGGCCAAGGCAACCCTGGTTCACCACTCTCCTCACTCAGTCCAGAGGAGTTTTTCGACGACTTCCGCTTGTTCCTCATCTGTTAACACAACACAACGGGACAGTACAACACCCGGACTTACTCTCACTGAAACTAGCAGCGAGGTGCTTCCGATAGATCTGAATTTTCTTTCGGCTCTGTTGCCATCCCAATCAACAGAACTTGCACTTCAACGTCATACGCAACCAACTCCTCCCTTGGAACCGTCAAGGTCCGTTTCGGGACCGACAGTGTTATCCTCGGATATCCAGGCAATTCTCGAATCTGCACTACAACCTTCCACACACAAATCGTATTCAGCAAAGTGGAGAAGATTCTCTTCCTTTGCCAATGCCCGTTCTTTCTCTCCGGAGTCGGCTTCCATCGAGAATATTTTGCAATTTCTATTCAACCTTCATCGCTCGGGACTCAAGCCTTCATCCATAAAGATCTGTACAGCTGCTATCTCACATTTTCATGGCAGCATCCAGGGGTCATCTGTTTTTTCTCAACCCCTGATTCACCATTTCCTTAAAGGGCTTCAAAATTTGCACCCGTCGGTTCGACCTGTTATGCCAACGTGGAGTCTTTCTGTTGTACTTCAGGCCCTTACAAAACCGCTATTTGAACCTTTGGCAACAGTGGATTTTTGCTTAGTTTCATGGAAAACTGCCTTCCTTGTTGCAGTTACTTCAGCCAGAAGAGCCAGTGAACTGTATGCTCTACACATAGACCCACTATTCTTGAACTTTCACAAGGAAAAAGTCGTTCTCCGAATGGACTCTGAGTTTCTTCCCAAGGTGGCTACACTGTTTCATTTGAACCAAGACATCGTCCTCCATTTTTTCCATCTCCGTTGACTCTGATTGAGCGCTCTCTCCATACGCTGGATGTTAGGCGCTGTCTAGCCTTTTACAGGTCTCGCACAGAAGCGTTCAAGAATTCCAATAGACTTTTTGTCGAGTATGCTGATCATGACAAGGGCTCTCCAGTCTCATCTCAGCGACTGTCCAAATGGATTGTGCAGACCATAGTCCTAGCATATCAATTTGCCAAGCTTGACTTACCTTCACTTCCAAGGGGGCATTCTACATGAGCAGTAGCGACTTCGTCAGCCTTTGCAGCAGGGGTTCCAATTCAGGATATTTGCAAGGCTGCAACTTGGGCTGCTCCATGTACTTTCGCCAAGCATTATCAGCTTGATGTACGTGCCAGAGGGGATTGTTCTTTTGGTAGAGCCATGTTCTCTGCCATTCTTCATTGACGACACCTTCCCTCCTCTGAGTCTGGTAAGCTTGCTGATCACCCATATGTGTGATGCACAGAGGCCACGACGAAGAAGAGCAGGTTGCTTACCTGTAACTGATGTTCTTCGAGTGGCCATCTGTGCATTCACACAACCCACCCACCAGCCCCACATGGTGTCGGTGAGTGGACTGTTTTTTTCTTACTGTCGGTTCCGTGTTACTCCTACGGTACTGACTTTTTCTTGCTGCGATGCTGATTTTCGAACGTTGAGAGGTGAACATTGGTCTTCAAGACTGAGTAAAATGGCAGACGCTCCACTCTATTTATACTGCAAGGGGTGGGGAGCGGAGCGTTTTCCCGCTAAAAACCATTAGCTTTCTAATCTTCCGGCCTAGGCACTGCGTAGGCGCAGCACCCATATATGTGAATGCCCAGATGGCCACTCGAAGAACATCAGTTACACGTAAGCAACCTGCTCTTATCAATTACTAGGTGCATTTCAAGCTATCATTTGCAGGAAATAGAACAAGAAAAATTAATATGCTATGGCTTGTTAGTTTCTATTTCTTTGGCACAGTTGTTTGTAATTATCTGCTGCACTTTCCCCCCATAAAATCTTTTTGTGAGGCCCTTCATCACACCTAATATAAAAACTAACTCTATTTAAACATAAAAAGCTTTAATTATTGTCCTTTAAAAAATTGAATTGTACTTTTTCTATAATAGACATTTTGGCTTTTCAAATGGCATAAATTTAATCAGTTGGATCCAGTCTTAGTCATACTGAGAGTATATTACAATTAATGTGGCTTAAGTTAAACTAATATAAGCCTTACTGATTTTAATGGATCTTCTCTTAACTATGGGTATTCCTAGACCCAACCCAATATTCTAATATTGAAGCAGCTACCCAGCATGCAAAAGTGAGGTGTCTGCATTTGTATTTTATGTTTGTCTCTGGGATTCTATTCACACGCAACTCTTTTATTCTTCTCTCCCTCCACACCATCTTTCTCCTGAAAGGTTGTCAGATGTTATTGGTGAAGTGACTGGTAACACCTTATCTACTTGCACGAAACCTTGTCCATCACCGCTTTCTTCTCCTAATGGAAAAATCACCTTAGCTAGCCCTAAACGTGGTCAGAAGAGAGAAGAAGGGTGGAAGGAAGTTGTAAGAAGGCAAGTTAAGTCATATGGTTGTAGTACATTGCAGGTTTTTCATGTGTCTCACCCTGCTTTAGAATATTTAATTCTTGTTTGTTCTTGTTAGCAATATTAGCAACTGTATGGTAGTTCTGTTTCTTGTTTTATATAGTTTATGGCTAAGCCTGTAAGTTCTGCCATGGGTTGCTTTGGAACCTGTTTTCTATGGGATATTAATGTACTTCCCATAGTGGTATCTTCTCTCTCTGTCTTTTCAGCCTTTTTGTATGGAACCAGAACAATTCCACAATTATAACAGTTATTATAATGCTTCAGTACATAGTTCAGCCAAAGCTTTTTAACATGAAGCCCAGCAACTTTAGTCTCCAGAATCACATATTGGCATGGCTTGTCTGTCATTGCACTTGTAAGCTGATTGGAAAGGAGAATGTCTTGGTGTCCCTCATATCCACTAAATATCTCAATGGCCAGGCTTATACATCTAAGATATGGGACATGGTGTAGCTTCCAGACAAAGCCACCACACATTTTTTTTTCATATGCACAACCCCCTTCCTACTAAGCACTATCTAATCTCAGTTTATTGAAACCATTTTACATTTTTTCATACTTTTCTTTAGATCGAAGAAAGTTTCTGTTCCGTCAACTGTTATTTCCAGAGTAATTGGAAGAGGTGGTTGCAACATCAATGCTATTAGAGAGTTTACTGGAGCACATATAGACATTGATAAACAGAAAGACAAAACAGGGGACAGAATCATAACAATAAGGTAAATACTTATTCAGGCACTGCTTATTTAAATTATGAGGATTCACTTCTGTATTTTGTTATTAACCTAGAGGTGCAGAACTGTTCTGGGGTGTCAGGGGCAGGTTGTAGGGCAGGTGACATCAGGGAGAAAGCCACCATGCTCTCCACTGCCATCAATGATCTGAGATAACAGCAGGATTAAGGTGTGGCAAGGTTGAATTTGCCCACCTGTGGAGAAAAGCACTTACTCACTCCCCCATCTCTGCACTCAGGTGAGTCCCCTCTGGCAGTATGGATGAAGGACATTGGGTATCACCCATGCAGGGAAGAGCAGCAGTTCTTCCTGTCATTGGTGAGTCAGGCCTAGGACTCCAGGCATCCACACCATTATCTCAGGGGATTCTTCTGGGGATGGGGTTTTGAGCTTAAGGTTCACCTTCTGAAGGAATTCCAAGATCAGCATGAACCAAATTTTGATATCACATGGGCTTGGAAGTTCTGTATCCCTTTACTAAATATGACACTTGTAGGCACTGTGTCTTGTAAAACAAATTTTGAACTATTTGATAATACACACACATGTATGCACACGCATATACAAACACAGGACCTTCAGTGGAATATTGTAGTGCCTTTATCCTGAAACAGGTATCGTATAACAGGCTGCTGTTTGGAATTTCAGCTAGCCGGTCAAACATGTCCTCCTCCAGAATGTCATGCTATACTGAACTCAAGCATGTCAGTTCACTCTTTCTGGTTGCTCCACTCCAGTTTTCCACTTTCTATGCAACCAACACTTAAAATGTTGTTGGCTTCTGGAGTCGATTGAACATGCACAGTCCTCAATGGGTTGCTTATGCATGCTTCAGGGGTCACCCAGTCATTTAATACCACTTCTTTTGTTTCTCACTAGCCCTTTTTGACTCCTGTTCAGACAGCGCTCATCCCGAGTTCACTATTAGAGGAAATTGGTGGGGTACCAGGTTTACAGCATAAAGCTATTAAATTCCATTTGTTCAAAGAGTATTCATTTCATATATTTTTGTGTAATGGGTGGAAAGATATAAATGTATTGTGAATGGAAAAGGATTTCCTCATGAGTTTATTCAACTCTTATAGGGGAGGCACAGAATCAACAAGACAAGCAACACAGCTCATAAATGCTCTGATTAAGGATCCAGACAAGGAAATTGATGAGCTCATTCCAAAGAATCGTTTAAAAAACTCTGTAGCCTATCCCAAAACAGGGGTGTCAGCCCATACCACCACTACAACTCACAATTCTGTAGCTGGGAGCAAGGTAACTGTAGCAATCTCATCATCGTCTCAAATTGCCACAGTGCTTTCTGTGCCTGCAATTTCTTCAGCTTCTACTCACAAAGCTATCAAGAACCCTGTGAACAATGTGCGTCCTGGATTTCCAGTTTCTTTGCCGCTAGCATATCCTCCTCCCCAGTTTGCGCAAGCCCTGCTTGCTGCTCAGACTTTCCAACAGATCCGTCCACCAAGATTGCCCATGACCCATTTTGGAGGAACTTTCCCACCAGCTCAGTCCACCTGGGGTCCTTTCCCTGTTAGACCTCTGAGCCCTGCAAGAGCGACTAACTCACCTAAGCCTCACACAGTGCCTCGCCATAGCAATCAAAATAGCAGTGGTTCTCAAATGAATTCTGTGGGTTCTTCAACTTCCAGTCCCACAACTACCACAAGTTCAGCTGTGTCTACTGTGCCTGTTACTTCTGCAGATGGAAGTCCCAGTTCACCTTCAGTTCGAAGGCAGCTCTTCGTCACCGTGATTAAGACATCCAGCACTACAACAAATACAATTGCAACCACAGCAAGCAACAACAGCACAACACTCACGAATGCCACATATCCTTTTCCTACTGCCAAAGAACACTATCCTGTGCCATCCAATTCCTCCCCTTCACCACCAGCCCAATCAGCAAGGGTTTCCAGAAGTAGTCCTTCAGAAGGCACAGCAAATTCTCCAAATAAAGGGCTGCTTTCCTCTGACCAGGAAGTTGCTAGCCCACCAATATCAGAGACAGCAAATCTGGCCAGCAACAAGCAGTCAAATAGTGGTTCCGTTGGTGTTATTTCAGAGCATCCTGTTCAGCCGCAGTCTCTTGGGTCTGTTTCCCAAGAAGTAAGACCACCTCTACAACAGCCTCAGGTTCAGACACAAGATCCTCGAATGATTATGCCTCCAAATTTAGTAACAGTGAGCACTTCTGCTGCAGTAGTTGCTCCTGCTAATGTTCCAATAAATTCTCCAGCAAACTATCTTTTGCCTCAAGCATCAGTGGGATCTACTCAACCACCACCTCCGGCTAAAATGGAAAACCCCGCCACCAGGCTACCTTCCCATGGAGCAAATCCTGCACACAAGAATTCAGCTGCTGCTCCAAATGCTTCAGTTGCTGTTCTTAATGTCAATCACATAAAAAGACCCAATAGTGTTCCTTCTTCAGTACAGCTTCCTTCTACCTTAAGTACACAAAGTGCTTCTCAAAATGCAGTCCATTCGGCAAGCAAGTCCATGACCACCAACTTCAGTGCTACTTTACCATTTGGGCCCTTTAGTACACTGTTTGAGAACAGTGCTGCCTCCTCTCATGCTTTCTGGGGTGGATCTGTCTTATCTCAGACAACAGCAGAATCTGTGCTGTCTGGAAAGTCTTCATTTCTGCCAAACTCAGATCCATTACATCAGTTAGATACTTCCAAAGCCCCAGGTTTTAGACCCCCACTGCAGAGACCAGCTCCAAGTCCCTCAGGTGAATGTTTCTACTGTTCTTTCCTTGTTTTACAGTATGCAATATTGCCACATATTTAACATGTGTAACTTTTTATCTGTTCACTACTTCAGCCTATTTGTAGCCATCAAAAACACTGGAGCATTGTTTTCTCTATGCATTAGGAGCCAGACTGTTTTACTAGAAAAAAGACTTGGCTGGAGGATGGAATGTGAAGGTATTTCTTACTTCCCTACAGCCAGCCTTTCTTCTGCTTCCACAGCCAACAGACACAGGTCCATGGGTCTACTCTGTTTTACAGGAAAGGGTGAAAAAAGCTTTACGTGGGGACTAGTACCTAAGTAAACCCAAAGCTGACCTTGCAGTTGTGTCTCCCCCCTTTTCTCCTGGTAATGAGGAATATGCAGGAGGACTGTGTGTGTTCCTCAGGCTTGGTATCACATGTGTTACCACATGGGTTCCTGTGTGAGTTATGGGTTCCACCCTCTTCCTGATTAATACTTTTGGAACAGGCAGGAGGACTTTCAGTGGTACAGTGGCTAAGGTAATGATACTTTTGACCAGCTTTTAAGTTAAGCTGCACCCCCACTGTTGCGACTTGAGTGGCTGGATGGATAGCACCACATTGAATCAACCATTTTCCCAGGTGGCTGGCTGTAAACCAGACCAGGACTCCCATTTTGCCAGGCTCATGGCAGCCAGCTTTTTGACTATGCCATCCCTTGCCCATGGCAAACAACTTCAAGTCCTTGCCATCTTAGAACTATCACTTCCTTTTCAGTCTTCCTCTCCTCACCATTGGCAACTTTAGGGGAAGGCTGTTCTGAGCTGTGCTCTTCTGTACTCCCATTTGGACTAAAGAAATAATATGTGGCAAAGGCCCTTCCTAATAATTTATAGATGTATTGAGTGAACAGAAAGAACTTCAGCTGTGGGAAAGAGAGCCTTCACAACCAGGTCATGTCACATTTCAGAACCCCTCCTGGAACATCTATATAGTTCCCCTTCAAGACAAATTGTTATCACTGTTAGATGACATTATGGAGATTGTGCTTCAACACTGTACCTACCTCACCATGGTCAACCCAGGCGATTTGTGCATATTGTTGGTTTATAAGGCCCTGTGCAGTTCAGGACCTGGGTATCTTAGAGACTGCATTCTCCTGTTCAAGGTGCCACAGCCTTGGTGTTCTGAGGAACCATACCATGCCATGTTTATGATTTATTGATTGATTGATTGATTTATATCCTGCCTTTTTCCTACAAAGGGCTCAAGACAGCTTACATCTCCTCCTCCTCCCCCACAACAACCACCCTGTGAGGTAGGTTGGGCTGAGAGTCTGTGACTGGCCCAGTCACCCAGTTGGCTCCATGGCTGAGCGGGGACTAGAACCCAGTTCGTCTGAGTCCCAGTCCCACGCTCTTAACCATCACACCACACTGGCTCTCAAGTGAATATCAGTATGCATGATGCCGTGCATACTGATATTCACTTGACTAGACTATGGAGGAAGGCCTTCCCCACTGTAACACCGGAATGATCACCTGTTCCTTCTGACGACTATGTTCCCTTCTGGCCCCTTCTGACCAATAGCATTGCCACTTACCCTTAGTTATCCTAATGTGATGTGTGATTTAAAAAAAAGATTGTCATTATTTTTCTTTACAAACTGCTTCATTTGTTTTTTAATAAAAAGAAATATAAAAATTCCTAACATAAATACCATAAATTCCCAACCTGATGTACTTCAGATGTGTTAGATGATAGGACCTGTAGTCCAACACATCTGGCATAGAAGTTTGGGAAAGGCTTGTATTGTGACGACAATGAGCAGGATGGCTATAATGTATCCATATCTTTCTATGTTTCTGCTGGTAGAACCTGAAAACAAATTTGCTGCTGCTATTAATTCATGATGCACCAGTCTGGTATTGATGTATCCTCAGTGTTTCTTGCTCATAATCCTCATCCATTACATCCTGCTTTGAATCAAATGTCCAAAACAGTAACTGTTTTTCAAGTTAGGAGGTCAGCATAAATAGTAATAAGTAAGTGCCTGCTTATCTAAGGGAATGTCTCCCTCCATATGAGCCTGCCCAGACCCTAAGATCTGCTGCTTCGTGAGCCCTCCTTGAGAGAAGTGAGGAAGATGGTAACAAGGAGGAGGGCCTTCTCTGCCAAAGCTCCCCTATAATGGAACTCACTCCTCAGAGAGGTTGGCCTGGTGCCAATGCTTTATTTGTTTTGGCACCAGGCCAAAACCTTTCAATTTTCCCAGTTTTTTAAAATCAATAATGTATTTTAATTAGTTGAAGTGAATGTGGGCACTGAGTAGTTTTAACTATAGCTGTATATGGTTTTAATGTATATATTAATAAATATAATATATTTATATTTTTTCTGGATTTTTTGTTAATTGTCTCAAGATATGAGAAAAAAATAAATGGTAGAAGCAAAGGAAAATAGGCTCACCTTTGAAAGGGCTCTTCGAAAAAGGATTTTTTTTACTCTCCAGATCCCAAATTCAGGGATGTTTTCCTCAGTTAGGCTTGGGGATTCTTTTAATTGTGTTACCAGTAGGAGGTGTCTCTTGGGAAGACGAAGAAGGTATCTCCTAGTCAATCCCTCAGCCATGTCATTTCTCTAGAAAAAGAACTGGTCATATAGTTTGTTGTTAGGTGCCATCCAGATATCTCAGACTCATGGCAACACTATAAATCCAAGCCCTTCAAAATGTCCTGTTCATTACAGCCCAGTTCAGCATTCCCTAATGGAGTCCATCCATCTCATATTTGGTCTTTCTTTTCTTCTGTCTTCAACTTTCTCTAGCATGGTTATCTTCTCCAGGGCTTTTTGCCTCCCCATGACGTGCTCAAAGTATAACAGCTTCACTTTTGTCATTTTTGCTTCTAAAGAAAGCTCTGGTTTGATTTGATCTAGAACCCATTTCTTTGTTTCTCTGTTGGTCCATAGTATGTATGTATGTATTTATTTATTTAGAGTATTTGTATGCCATCCCATTGCATAGCCTCAGGATGGCTTACATAAAATGAAATAAAATATAATACACATAAAATCCAGATCCACCCTGGCTGCAGATTAAAACCTATAAGCTGATATTAAAAGTTATTAAAATATTGTTGAAAGAAAAAGGTCTTAGCCTGGCGCCGAAAAACAAATAACGACGGTGCCAGGTGGACCTCTCTGGGGAGTGCATTCCATAGGCGGGTCGCCACCGCAGAGAAAGCCCTCCCGGGTACTTTGCCTCCTGATGTCTTTCACGGAGGGTTCCCCGAGGAGGGCCTCTGCTGCCGATCTCAGGGGGCGGGAGGGCAAATACGGAAGAATTTACAAAGTTCTCCTCCAGCCCCATGGCTTAAACACATCAATTTTCTTTCTGTCAGCTTTCTTCACTGTCTAGCTTTTGCATCCATACATACTAATCAGGAATACAATCGTATGGATTATCTTTGCCTTGGTTTCCAGTGAATTGTCCCTATACTTGATTTTTATCTTTTCTATTTCCTTCATTGCTGCCCTTACCCATCTCAGTCATCTTCAAATTTGTTGGCAGCAGTCTCCCTTTGAAGTGATGACTCGGCTAAGGTATACAAAATCTTTCACAATTCCAATTTCTTTATTGTTAACAGTACAGTTTTGTAATTCTTCTATAGGCCTGATTTTTGTTCTCTTGATATTCAGCTGCAGTCCTGTACTTGCTTCTTTCAATTTATCAGGAATTGTTTCAATTTGCTACTGCTCTCTGCAAGTAATATGGCATCATTTTAGTTTCTTAAATTATTGATGTGTCTTCCACCAATTTTCACTTCTTCCTCTGATTCTAATTCAGCTCTCCTTATGATATATTCTGCATACCAATTGAACACATGGGGAGATAAAATACATCTTTATCTGACACCTTTGCCTATGGGAAATTATTCTGTTCTCCGTCCTCTGTGCTTACAGTAGCTTCATGGCCATCATATAGGTTATGCATCAGGACAATCAGGTGCCAAGGCAGCCACATTTCTATCAGAACCATCCATAGCTTCTTGTGGTCTGCATGGTCAATGGCTTTGCTGTAGTCTATAAAGCATAGACTTATCTGAAATTCTTTGGTGCACTCTAGTAGCCCAAGGACCGTGTTTCCCCGAAAAGACACTGTCTTATTTTTTTTTTTTTTTTTTGGCTCACAAAAACACACTAGGTCTTATTCTCAGGGTAGGTCTTTTTTTATGTGTACAACAATCCACACTTATTCATGTACAACAGCATGAATACATGAACATTTGGTACATTTGGTATCACTCCACCTGTGGCAGGAGCTGGCACTACAGAGGAAGCATCGGCTTATGCAGGGAGCGGAGGGAGCAGAGCATGTTTCCTCCACACAGTGCATTAAGTTAAAGTTAAGTTAAAAATAAAGTTTAAAAAGACTCTTTATGTTCCCTACTGGCCTTGGGAATAAACACAGCTAGGTCTTATTTTCAGGGTAGGTCTTATATTTTAACAAGTACCAAAAATAGTACTAGGTCTTATTTTTGGGGAAACACGGTATGTTTGCAGTATGATCTCTAGTGCCTCTTCCTTTTTGGAATCCCGCTCGAATGTCTGGTTATTTCTGTCTCTATATAGGTTAATATTCTTTATTGCCACACTTTGAGCATAACTTTGCTTGCATGGGAAATTAGTGCAATGGTCCTTAGCTTGTGGTAATCTTTTGCATCTCTTTTTTTGGAGACTGGAATGTATATTGAATGTTTCCCATCTGTAATCGGTTGCTTTGTTTTCCATATTTGTTGGCACATTCTTTTTAGGACTTGAACCAATTCAATCTCTGCAGCTTGGAGTTGTTCTGCATTTGATCTAGTCTGGGGCTCTATTTCTTCCAAGTGCTTTTAGAGAAGTTTTCACTTCACTTTCTAATATTAGAGGTACTTCCTCATAGGATTCCTCTTCGAAGGAGTCTGTCATCCTTCCATTTCTTCTGTGTAATTCTTCTGTATATTATTTTCACCTTCTCTTTATTCTTCTGATCAGATTGCTTGTCTTTTAGCATTCTTAATCTAGGTTTGAATATCCCTTTGATTTCTTGGGTCTTCAGAAAGAGGTCTCCTGTTTTTTATCATTTGTTGTTCTCTTCTAGTTCTTTGCACTGTTGTAATAGACCTTTTTGTCTCTACATGATAATTGCTGAAAAGTTGCATTCAGGATTCTGACCCTATTGCATTATCTTTTGCTTTTGTTTTTTGCCTGTCATTTGCAACTGTGTTTCTTCTGTCATTCATCTAGGGATTTTCTTTCTTTTTGCTACAGGAATTCAGCATTCTTTCCTAATAATGTTTCTGGTTTCAGAGACTAGTTCTTCTGGCTCACAGTCAATTAAGTTGAGTAATGCAAATCCGCCCTTTATGTAGACATTAAATTCCTCAGGGATGTTAATGAATTGTATTTTGGCACTATTTCTGTTTGTGATTTTTTCAGTTTTATTCTTTTTTTTTATATTTTATTTATTAAAACATTTCTATGCTGCCCCATTCGCCAAAGCCTCGGGGCGGCTCACAACAAGCCTCGGGGCGGCTCACAACTCATATTAAGAGTTCATGGTCATTACCATAATCTGTTCCTGGTCTTGTTTTGGCAATGAAAATACAGCTTCTCCATTTTCAGTTTCCAATTATATAAGTTGTTTGATTTCTATACTGGCCATGTGCTGATATCCATGTATAGAGTTGTCTCACTGGTAACTTGAAGTATGTATTTGCAATAACCAAATTGTTGGCTTCACAAAATTCCATGAGCCATTCTCTGGTTCAAGTCTTACAACTAGGTCAAATTTTTGTACAACATTGGATTCTGCTTTGTTTCCTCCTTTTACATTCCCATCACCTAGGATTATTGGAGTGTCTTGTTTTGATGTGTTATCAATTTCTTCTTGAATGCCTGCATAATAGTTTTTATTATTATTCATTTATTTAGGCTATTTTTATCCCATCCCATACCAATTATCTCTGGATGACTTACAGTGTGATAAATAAACAATAAATACAGCAATCAGTAACACAAAATAAAATTTCCTCTTCTTTGGCATCTGTTATTGGAGCATAGGCTTGAGTGATGATAGGTTTTTCACAAACTTGCCACAATACTAGAGTCACTCCATTTCTTCTGAGTTTTTCATTTCTGGAGTAAAACACCTTGTGTGTGTCTGACTGAAAATGTCCCAGTCCAGTCCACTTTAGGTTGGTCATATCAAGCATTGCGATGTTTAGCTGTTCCATTTTCTGCTTTGTGATTTCCAGTTTGCTTTGATTCATACTTCTTGTTTTTCATGTTCCAGTTATACATGTTATACAGCATTGGACATTCCTTTAACTTCTGTGCATATCAGCCACAAGACTTCCTTTCAAATTTGATCTAGTAGTGTCATTAGAAACATAGAATAATAGAGTTGGATAGGGCCAGAAGACCATCTGGTCCAACCCCCTGCTATTGCAGGATACTAAGTTACACCATCCCATTCAGATGACTGTCCAGACACTTTCTGAATGTCTCCAGTGAGGAAGAGCACACAGCTTCTCCAGGAAATAGGTTCCATTGTTAAACTGCTCTGACAGTGAGGAAATTCTTCCTGGTGTCTAGTCTAAATCTGGTTTCTTATAATTTAAGTCCATTAAGCAGGACAATTTAAGTCCTGCACTCTGGAATGAATGAGAAGAGATCTTTCCTCTTTGTGACACCATTTCAGGTACTTGTAGTCATTAGTGACAGCGCTCTTCGTACTTGTCCTTCGATCTTCCTTAGGAGCTCATTTAGTGCCTTCCAACCTGGGAATCTCATCTTTTGGCACTCTCTCTTGTTTCATTTTGGATTGTTTCATCATAGGATTTTCAAGGTAAGAAGATTCAGAAGTAGTTTAACATAAGTGCCTTTTGCACAGTACTAACCAGAGTGAGTTTGCATGTCACTGCTGTTATCTGTGAAGGATCTTCCACCAGTGTCTCCTCCAACCACTGCTGCTGCCCAGTAGCTGCCCTGCAGGAGTTTCTCTGCCCCCATCACCATTACAGCTATCTGTTCTCTTCTGCTGATGTAACGGTTAGCCTCTTGCCTCTGCTTTGACCACTCTGCCTTGAGTGATGCAGCAAGGAATCCAGCCCTAGTAAGACAGTTTGGCCTCTTGGCAGCATTGCTTGTCATGTCTTTGATACTGTCAAACCCACTCACTATATTCAGGTGTGCATCCAAGAGGGAACGTGAGTATAGTAGGTAGAGGAAATCCCCCTAGTCTTTGGTAACACTATTGTTGTTGTTGTTGACTATTGTTGCTCTGGTTTCTTTTAAAAGGACTGACTTGAGACAGTGAGATTTTTAGAGAAGGATTTTGCCAGGAAGGAATATAAATCACAGCAACCCCAACTCATCTTCGGTGATTGTCAAGAGAAACCAAAGGGAGAAAATCATATAGTGGGAGCATCTTTGGGTCAGTGTTTAGGGCTTAGGATAGCAATACTCCCAATGATACTGACCCAGCCAAGTCTTCCAACTGGCATATTTGCAAAACTGCCCACCACCACAGTTGCACAAGTGCAGCAAGTATTAATAAAAGGAAACATTTCAAAACATTGTTTCATGAACAGTGACAGCCCCTCCAGTGTAGCACTTCAGCACTTTTAAGAGATTGTCAGTGGCTGTCAAAACAGGGATTGTCAAAGTTGACTTAAAGATAAAACCATGGCAACTTGAAAGTAGGTTTAAGAAGGGAGATCTTTAAGGTTGCACACTATACTGTTGTTTTTCGTTTTCTATGCACATACTCTAAGCTTCATTTGCCATTTTTGTTGGCTGTTAATCTGGTTTTAGGGACATCCTTTTGGAGTTGTTTGCAGTCTGCTTGGGTTTTCATCATTCTGAATAATTTGACTGGTAAATATGCCCACCTCACTGCTCCTGACTCCCAATATTTTATGAACAAGTTGGGACATCAGCTGCAATAGAGGTCCTTGAGAAAACTCAGTGCTGCTTTCCTTCCAATGTGAGAAATTTCAGTCTGTTTCTGCTTTCTGTTTCCTATTGTTTAACCAGTGTATACACATAGTCAGGTTGTTGCAGAAATGTGTGTTTCACAGTAAACATAAACACTAAATTTCTAGTTCTAGTTTAGAGTGTGACCAAAATATTTTGACATTAAAGTAGTAAGATTGTGTGGTGGTTGTCCTCCTGATTTAAATAAATATATGGATCTGTTGATAAATGTAAAATTTAAAAAACAGCAAGTAACAATTCAAATGAAGATTCATAACTGTTAATGCTGAGTGATGTTTGCAGAAGTTACTTCCATTGCCATTGCTTGATATCTTGCAAATCATTTTATAGGTATTGTCAGTATTGATTCACCATATGGTTCTGTAACACCTCCTTCTACACATTTGGGTAACTTTGCCTCAAACCTTTCAAGCAGTCAATTATATGCACCAGGAACACCTCTTGGGGGAGCACCGGCAGCTGCTAATTTTAACAGACAGCACTTTTCCCCACTCAATTTATTGCCTCCATGTTCCTCTGCATCAAATGGTGAGTTACTAATTAAACTGGAAATTATATTTTTATATTTGTTTTATATTTAATGCAGCAC